CCCTCCTCCTCCCTCCTCCTCCTCCTCCTCCTCCTCTCTCTTCCCGCCTCCTCCTCCTCCCCCTCCCCTCCTCCTCCTCCCTCCTCATCATCCTCATCCTCATCCCCCCCGCTCCTCCCCCCCTCCTCCCCCTCCTCCCCCTCCTCCTCCTCCTCCTTCTCCTCCTCCTCCTCCTCCTCGTGCTGACTCCTGCCGAGCCTCTCTCAATACTCACAGGCCATCCCGATGCGTCCTTGAACACGTGCTAGGCCGTGCGGGATCCCGCGGACTGGGTGGGCTCTGTTGCGCAGTCATGTTGAATGTTCATACGATAGTTTAGCGTCATGTCGACCAGGGGCGACCCCGCAGCCGGCGTTTAACGTTGAACGCCGCTGGCGACCCAGAGTCGGTCAATGTTGAAGGATCTGACGTTTCGAAAACGGCCCATCGTTCAAGGTTGAACGACCCCCGCGATGTCAGAAACCAACGCCGAAGTCGGCACGACACGAACCTGCCGTATGCCCTGCCAAGTCCTGCGAAGCACCACGGGCGAAGGCCCCGCTGACCGTCGTTACCATCTCTGGCGAGTCCCGCACGAGCATCGCGGCACACTGCGGCGCCGCGGCCGCCCCGTCGCTTTCGCCGCCCGCCGCCGCCGCCCCCGCCTCCGCCGCCGCCGCCGCCGCCGCCGCCGCCGCCGCCGTCGTCGTCGTCGTCGTCGTCGTCGTCGTCGTCGTCGGTGTCGTCCTCGTCCTCGTCCTCGTCGTCGTCGTCGTCGTTATCTTCTTCGCCATCGTCGCCGAGGGTCGTTGGTGCAAGGGCGGGTCTGGGGGCTTTCTGGGCCTTCTGGAGGCATGCAGAGGGCCTCCAGGGGACCTCCGTGGAGACCTCTGGAGTTCGACATCGTTTCCATCGCCGCAAATCGTCGCGATGGGGGGGAAACGACGGTGGGGGAGGAGTGGGTGCGGGGGGCTGGAAGGTGGTGGGGGAAGGGGAGGGAAGGGGGGAGGAGAAGGAGGAGGAGGAGGAGGAGGAGGACGAGACAGAGGGAGAATGGGGAGGAGTGGGGGAGGAGGAGCACGAGGAGGGGGAGGAGGAGTAGGAGGAGTAGGAGGAGGAGGAGGAGGAGGAAGGGGAGGGGGAGGAGAGCGAGAGGGACATGAGGGGGAGCAGGTGGAGGGGGCGGAGAAGGCCGAGGTGAGGGCCCTGTAGGAGGCGCGCGCAATTACTCAAGCCAAGGGTGCTTGGCGCTTGGCCGATCCATCATGCCCCCCACGAGTGTGGAGCTGGGCGTGTGTCCGCATATGTTTGCGGGAGGGGAGGATGCCAAGCCGCGCCGCACTTTCTGCGTGCTTCCTGCATGTGGACCGGGGTGTCAGGGATTGGCGCCCTGGTGTCTCAGAAAGAAGACGCAGCGCAGTATGGGGGGAGAGAGTCGGGTCCGGACGAGAGGGATCGGTGGGGAGGGGGACGCGGAGGAGGAGAAGGGCGGGGCAAAGAAGGGGAGGGGACGGGGAGACAGAGTGGGAGGGAGAGTTGGAGGGGAGGAGCGAGGAGGATGAGGAAAAGGAACAGGTGGATGAGGACGAAGGGAAGGATGAGGAGGGCGAGCAGAGAGGCCAGCGGCTTCGTGGATGTGTCTCGGAGTCTCTCGGACGTCTCTTGAGAGCTTCTTGGAGAGTCTTCTTGGGGCGTCTTGGGGGGCTCTTAGCGGTCACGGGGACCTCCTGAAGCGGCTTGGGTGCTTCGGGTGAGCTGTGGTCTTCTTGGGTGTCTCTTGGGGGCCTCTTGCTTGAGGGGCTATTTGAGCCTCCTGGGCGCCTGGGGCACTCTTGGGGCACTCGTCGGAGCCTCGGGAGCCCTCTTGGTGACTTCTTGGAGAAGTTCGATCAAAGAAGGGGATGGTGCTCGATTAGGGCCGCGCCTCAGCCCTAAAATCGCCTCCTGGGTCGCTCTTGGGCGCTATTGGGACCGTTTTCGGGCTAGGTTGGGCTCGTGGGGCCCTGTTGGGCCGCCTTGGAACACCGTGAATCCTCGGAGAGTCGTCGGAAGCGAAAAGGCGAGAAGGCAAACCACAGTGATTGTCCCCCAGTGCTTGCAGGGTATTGGTCTCTCGGTGGCTTCCTTGGGAGGCCCCGTGGCCACTTGGAGCCGTCTTGGGGCGGGGCCTCTGAGCTATCTAGGGCCATCTAGGAGACCATTTTGAGTTATCTAGAGCTATCTTGGGCCACATTGAGCCATATCGAGCTATGTTGGCAACCATCTTGAGCTGTCTTGAGCCATCTTGGGCCATCTGGGAGATCATCTTCGGCTCTCCGAGGCCCTCTTGGAGCCGTCCTGGGCCATCTTGGAGGTTCCAGTGGGCGGCGAGTCCCCCCCGTGCAGGTCCAGGGGAGGGGGTATGGGGATGGGGGAGGAGGAGGAGGAGGAGGAGGAGGAGGAGGAGGAGGAGGAGGAGCCACCTCTTCCAGACGCAATCTGTTTGGCTCACTCCCACCCAACCTCACAACACACAAGTAGTAACCCGAGTCTCAGCATACGAAGCGGCAGTCTTGGGATGGACAAGCTGCTAGGAACAAGTACAGTACCCAGGTGAGCGACGTTGGGGTGAGGTGCACCACGCGGGGGTATATCCCATGCCCGGAGTGGAAGGAGGGGAAGATGGAAGAGGAACCGTTCTAAACCATTCACGCCCAGAGGGTTGGCGGGATTATATGTTTACAGTTGGTGTCGTTCTTAGAGTTGCTTCGCGATCCTGAAGCAGTATTCTATGGAGACCGTGTTGAGATTGAGTTCGGTTTCTCATTGGACCTTCGGAGGACTTCTTGGGGACATCATGGGAACTCTTCGGGCCTCTTGGACTTCCTTTGGGTGGGACTCGGAGCTGATGTGAAGAGTCTTACAGCGCGTTTTGGGGCCCTTGTGGAGTGGTCTTGGGGCAGCCTAGTCGTAGCTTTCTTGATGCTGTGGCGTCTTCCTTGTACTTCCGTGTCTGTGTGGCTCCTTGGGGGTTACTGTCGAGACATAGTTGGTTGTTCGTGAGTTTGAAGGGGCCCTGTTTGATTGTCAGGAGCGGAAAGGGGACGTCTACGTACATGAATTTTCAGGATTCATGGAGATCGCACCAGGGAGCATGAGTGGCATGGGGAGTGCATCGTGGAGTAGCGTCGAAATTCTCGCCGTACGGCTCGGACTTTACTACGGTTTGCGTTCGGAAGCCTGTCCCTCAAAGCACCCCGACGATCGTTCGAAAACCGCGACGTTGGGATGGTGTGTCTTCATTGTGTCCTTTTTTATTGCTCTTCTCGTCCCTTCTCGTGGTCGTTGAGGCAGGGGGGAGGAGGCCAGGAGGAAAGCCAGTCAGAGGAGCAGCAGAAGGTGGAAGCGGATGAGGACACAGAGGCAAGATCGGGAAGCGCAGGTTGTAAGTGGAACAGCTGTTGGGCGGAGGTCTGCGCAGACCGGGGCGGAGGCCGACAAGAGAGGGTGCCGATGGTAATGCAGAGAGAGAGGGTCAGGCCAACGAGGAGGACCAGGAGAGGGGGAAAGAGGACGCTGTAGGTGGAGGGAGGCGGATATGCGAAGGATGGACGAGTGTGGGCCACAGAGGGCCTCAAGACTGCCCCAACAGGGCCCCAAGAAAGGGAACACGAACCGAAAATCCTAGCTGCTCCAGCAGCCTCCCACACCCGGAGGTGCCCGCAACCACTTGACAAGGGGTGCGATACCCCCCGCGCCGCCCAGCCTGACGGTGCAAGTCTGAGCCGCCGCGCGGGGCGCCAGGGATGCAAGTACCCCCAGGAGCGGGAGGGTGGGGCGAAAGCGCGCGCGTCGTCCGCAACGGCGGGACGCAAGCGCAGATGCCCACAAGATGCAAGCACTAATGCTTGCAAACCACGCGACCCCGAGGCGCGCCGCGATCCGCCCCGACGCGATCCCCGCGGCGCGCCTGCACGGGGCGCGCATCGCGATGCGAGCAGAAGCATGAACGCTGCCTCGTGTGCGCGGTGGCCCTCTCTCGCGGGGCCGCGCGCAGCCACGCACATGCAGTCGCGCCCCCCCTCGCGCGCGCGGGCCCTTCGCGTGGGGCCGCGTGCCGCGAGGCGCAAGAAAGCGGGAGGCGGCCCGCGCGCATTGTTCGCACGTTTTCGCGCGGGCCAGGCGCGGGCGCGAAATTTGTGCTTGCGCACGACGCAGCACAAGCGAGCGCGCGCGCTTTCGATGGCGCTGCGCGCCCACCCCAAGAGGCAGGCCCCCAAGAGGCCCCAAGGAAGCCCCCGAGAGGCCCGAAAGAGGCCCCAAGTGGCCCCGAAACGGCCCCCCAGGAGGTGGGGGGTGGTTGAAAAGGTGCGGAGGGTGGAGGGTGGATGGGGACGGAGGTCGGATACCGGAGGCAAGACAGGCGCTGGACGGAGCGGGGAGGCTTGGCCGTGCTTGCCAGGATTAAGAGTGAATGGGGGAAGGGGGAGGGACAGGAGGAGGACTGGGTACAGCGGGGTTTCGCCTGTTGGGCGCCCGAGGGCGCCTCGTGGGCGCCCCGTGCGGTGGATGGGTACGCCGCGTTTTCGCTTGGTATCAACGCGCCCGTTGCGTGACTCCTCGCTGCGATCTCACCCGCACATCTCCGCGGCCTCGTGGTCCGGACTCCTCGGCCGCGACCCCATGGATACAGGATGGCCTTTCGCAGATCCCTCGCGTGGGGCGCATCCATGAGATCACGTGCCCTTCGGATTTCGCGCGGGTGTTCGGACCGCGAAGGCATGCTATGGACATGTCTGTCGCCCGTGAGCCTCGATGATCCTCAGGATGTGTTTTACCTCTGCGTATTTGTGCGTTTTCCCCCGTCGGTGCCGCCGATGGCGCGCGGCCCGTGTCGACTCTAAGCCTGCGTCGCTCTGACGCTCCCTGGCGGGAGAGCGCATGCTGCCACCTGCGAACGCCCTGAGGATCACCGCGAGGTACCTCCTCGCCCCGAACCCCCGCCCCTCCCGCGACGAAGAGGCGCCGCGCCCCTCCTGACCATGCGGCGCATCGCCGCCGTCCTGCGGGAGATCGGGCGACGAACTCTGCAGTGCAGGCCCATGCCAAGAAACACCCTGCTTGCTTTCAGGGTGCCCTGGGTTGTCTTGGGTTTCGGCGGTTTTGATGCGGAGAGCGTGGCGCTCCCACCCCAGAAGTCCATGGACGTCCTGGGGTCTGGGGGTGGGGTTTCTCGTGGAAGGTTTCTGTTGGACTGGCCTCCATTATACGATGTTCCCTGGCCAGGCCCGTCCCGAACCTGGGAGCTGTGTAGACACGTTCTCCCGGCCTAGCCAGGAGGGCACGGCGTACACACCGTTGCTAAGTTCAGGATGGGCATGGCCAGGGAGCAGTGTCGGAGGCCTAGAGGTTGACACCAACACAAATATCGGCGGTGTGCCTCCACCGAGGGCAAACGACCCCGATCTCGGTGACGGTGGATTATAATCGGGCTTCCTAGGTGGCCGCAAAAGTACCACGAACACCGACATCGAGGATCGCCTTCCCCCTGTGGAGGCAACCCCCCTGAGTTGGTGTCGGTGCCCAGCAATGGATGTGTATGGACCTCGCCACCCCACAGGAGATGGGCGTCGCCTACGTGCTCGAGAGCAGCGCCGCGGAGGCGAGCCGCGCCCCGCGGGCCCCGCCGGCAGTCCCTTCGGCGCCCCGTCGGCGGCCCTCGGGCGGCCCTCGGGCGGCCCCACGGCGGCCCCCTCGGCGGCCCCCTCGGCGGCCCCCTCGGCGGCCCCTTCGGCGGCCAGCGCGGCGGCCCCCTCGGCGCCCTTCGGCTGCCCCGCCCCTCCGCGCCCAGCGGCGGGGCGCCGAGCGCACCGCCGGCGGCCGCGGGCCGAGGAGCGGCGAGCGGCCGACGCGGAGCGGGGCCGGGCGGTCGCCGCTGTCCTCGGCCTGAGCTTGGTATCGCTCGGACGTGTGCTTTTCGATTCGGCGGGAATTATTTAGGAGCATCCTGGATCATGCTGCGAAAGAACCACGCACGAAACCGAAGACAAACACAGGGAGTGGACGTCCGAGCGATGGCCAGGTCTGGGCGTCTTGCTCACCCTCGGGCCGCCGAGAGGCCGCGGTCGTCCGCGGTCGCCGCCGCCGCCGAGAGGTCGCCGCCCCGTGGCCGCCGAGAGGCCGCGGTCATCCGCGGCCGTGCTCGCGCGGGCCTCCGCGGCCACCCGCGCCGGTCTTCTGTCGGTCGCTCGTTGGCCCGCGGCCGTGGGCAGCTGAAGAACGCCGCCGCCGCGCCGCCCGTGGAGGCCGCCGATCACTTTTCCGCTCGCAGCCGTACTCGCGCGGGGATTTCTGCTTCGCTTTGGGCGCTCAGGCCCGGATTTAATGGGCGCTCAGGCCCAGATTTAAGTCGGCTTTTTCCTTCTATAGAAGGAATAGTCAAACATAGTCATAGTATGGAGACGAGTTTCGATTATTTTTGACCAGTTGGGAATATGTTGTCGGTTATTTCTCGTCCAAAATCCGCCTGTAGGGGGACATGCCCGACCTAAACCCAGATCTGTCCAGCGATCCGAGTTGTCCAATCCTGGCGTGTCGTCTCGGCATGTGGGGTCTGTTATCGGACCCTGGGGCCCTCAAAACCGGATCCGGGACGAAGCATTGCCGCAGGCGAGGAAGGAGTCGCGATTTCCCTGGGGCCGCGCATTGGATCTATCACATCGTTGGATGTCTGGGGGGGCCAAAGGCCAGCTCCCGATCCCGAGGCCACGCGCGGCTGCATCCTGTGGCCGGCCTTGGGCGGTCCATGCTGCACTGTCGCGCCGGCGTGCGGGGCGGCGCCGGGGGCCCCCCAGCGCAGATCCAAGAAATCCGCGCGGAGCGCCAAACGTTTATGTTTATGGCGTCTTTTTGCCTCTAGCATTGCCCTCCCGCGGGTTGCGAGCTGAAGTTCGTTCGTGCTTGTTCCGCTTTCTCTCTCTCTCTCTCTATTGGTGTTGGTGTCCTCGCGGTCATCGTCTGCGGTGCTCGGCTTAAGTCGGGCATGTCCCTCCAGGAGGAAGATTCCAGATTTGTCAAAAGATAGTCTGGGGGCGAGGGGGGGGGGGAGACGAAGATCGAAACACACGGGAAGATATAGGGGATCCTCGGATTCGCGTGTGTCTATCTCCGGGCGGTCGCAAACACGGATCAAGGGGGCGTGGATTAGCGACGGGCCCCGCTTCCACGGGGAGTCGCGGATTTCCGCCGCCGAGCGAGGCGGCTCCGGCCGCATTTCGTGGAGGGCCCTTCCCCCGATCCATGGATTTGGCGACCGCGCGCCAGCTCCACGGATCGCTACTCCGATGCCTGCGCCCCCGACCGGGGCCCGACGCCGCTATGGAGCGCCGAGTGCCAGGCCGTGGGGCGGTCGACGCAGGGCGCGCGGGTGCTGTCGGCTGTTGGTTGACCGGTGACGGGCCCGCGGGGCCAGACGCTCGGGGGCGGCAAAGGGGGGGTTGCTGGCTAGGGGGGGGTGGATGTCGTGGCGTCGGCCATGATATGTCCTCAGATGTTATGGCGCCTCTGCTTATTTCACTGCGTCCGGGTTCCCCCCCCCCAAGGGCCGCGCACATGCCGCCGGCCATGATTTGCGCTTCCCCCCTCTTGGACGCCCCCGCTCTTGGCCCCCCCCCGAGAGTGAAGGCCGTGGGGTGGTCGGTGCAAGACGCGCAGGTGCCGTCGGACGAGCGCTCGGAGTCTTGTGTCCCACAGGCCATTTCGGCGTCAGGGGCCAGACATGAACGCCGTTTTGCTGAACTTCGGCTGTGTTTTGTTTTTCGTTTTGGCAGGGAGGTGCAGGAGAGCAGGTCGAGCAAAAGGAGAAACAACAAAACAACGAACACGAAGCGAAAAACAACGTGTAGGTCCAGCCCTGTTTCGGTGTCGGGTTCTTGGTTGACTGGCAAAGACCGAGTGCTACAAGGCAGCATCGTTGTCTCTCGATCACGACCGCTGCCTTCCAGCATCGTTGTCGTCTTATCTGTTCGCTCGTGTATTGCCGCTGTCGGGGGGGAGAGGATCAAAGACACGCCGCCGTTGAGAGCCCGTCAGCGTGTTACTCCTCTGATTTTTTTTAGTCCGAACACTTGGCGCCTCTTCAGCAGCACAACGTTGATTGGTCCCCCATGGCGGCGTGTCCGTGATGCTGCCTTTGTCGCCCCTCGCTTTCTCGCACGAGCCAGGATTAGGAGCAACGTCAGAGGGGGGTATTACCAGCCTGGAACATATTCCTATCCCTATGCTGGGCATCTCCTCATCACGATGCCAATCTTAGGGATTCCCTTATTTTTTGAGGGCGCATCCCTAAGATTGTCATCGTTTTTTGGCGTGTCAATCTTCGGGATAGGGATAAGTTCGAGGCTGGTAAGGGTATGGGTGCTCCGTGGGGAACGCATTGACCCCCGATCGCCAGCCCATCGCAGATAGGGGCCCGGCAGCCCGGCCTCCAGGAACGTGCGGTGACGCTTCCAGGTTGCCTATCGCCGCTGTATCGGCGACGTGTCCCCGATTTCAGGTCGATGTTTCCCCCATGAGTCGGTCCCCGAAAAGATACTCCTGGAGGAGGAGGAGGAGGAGGAGGAGGAGGAGGAGGAGGTGATTGTTGCACCTGGCTTTCTGAAGGGGGTGCGCTGGCAACACGAGGAAGGCACAAGCTTGCCGGTGCTGTAATTCATTACCCTGCGACGGTGTGAGGAGGACCCTTTGCCACACGTCGCACACGGAGTCGTGCACGTCCCACAAATCGCAAACGGAATCGTTGCCCCTCGCGGGAGGAGAGAGAACGGGGGGGGGACCGGCAGGAGGCCTCCGCCAGGTGTGCAGGGAGCCTCCTCGGGCCCCCGAGGCCGCGCCGAGGGGCGCACTGAGAGAGAGAGATCGTGGGCTCGATCCCCCCCGCTTCCCAAGGAAACTCAAGCATTCAGGCTGGTGCGCGGACTAGCGACGGGCCCCGCCGCCGTACATCAAGCAGTACGCTGTGTGGTTTGCACGAATGGTTCCTCGAACGGGCCTGGCTGAAACCATGCTGGTTTTACACATCGGCTCTTTGTTCTCAGAACAATATCTGCGATCTTAGAACACTCCTCCGTTCTAAGAACATGTCGTGGTAGGCCCATAGACAAGCACAATCGACACCTCAGGCGTGCCGTGCCTCCGAGCACAATCGACACCTCAGGACCTCGTCTGGAAGTCAGGACCTTCGCTGCAAGGTTGTTACAGCCCTCCCGCTCCCTGAAGCAACCCCGGCACCACATCACAACGGCAAGAAGGGGTGGCACCACACTCACGCACACACATGCACGCATGCACATACGCCCACCCCCACTACACCCCACCACAGAGGGGGGGACCCATCAGGGGGAGAAGGGGGTGACGCCAAACCCATGGGAGGAGAGGGTACCTGGGGCCCTGGATTATGTATGCACGTGGGTCAGCAGCGCGTACGTCTTTTCTGGGCCCCACCACAAACTTGTCAAACATAAACAGGGGTATGTCACTCCGTACTTCATGGTCAGCCCTGCTCCAATGCTGCCACTAGATAGTTCGCTTATACGCACGCGGGCATGTCCGAAGTCCAGTGCCCCCCTCTCAGCAGTGAAGAACGGGTTTTCTGACAGGGGCCCGAGAGTATCAGTCCCCACGATTTTCAACCGCGTCTCAGACTATGTGTCACAACGCGTGCAGCAGGGGTTCCTGCCCTCACCGTCCTGAGGCGATCGCGCTCCTGGAGGCCAAGGAGGAGTTCGCCAGGCGCTTCCGAGAGTCACGGAGGCCCGGCGGCGGCCACCAGGACCCGCGTTTCTTGCATGTTGTTCTGGCCCGAGGGAGGACCGAAGATACAGTCAAGGCGCCGAATGAATGATTTTGTGGGGGAGTCAGGGGGGGGGCGATGGTTTTCCTGGACGTTCTTTGGAGCTAAGTCGGGAGGTCTCATGCCGTGACCAGAAAGTCGGACTTTCTGGCCACGGCGAACGAGGGGGACTTTCAAAGCCCCCTTTGTTCGTAGTGTTGGCGATCCTTATGGTAGTACGATCCAGGTAGCGGTTTGAGGTTCTCGAATCGAAGCGCCAGCGTTTGCCATGAATCACGCAGGGGATCGACTACAACATTGATTTCTTCCAGGAGCGCCTTCCGCCGAACCCATGTACAGATATGAAACAGTTCCGCAGATCTGCGGAGCATCCTGCGCATGTGTTGCAGATTCGACGGTCAAAACAGTGTTGGTTTTAATCAATGTTGTAGTCGATCTTTTTTCCAAGGACGGGAAGGCTACTCATGTGTTGCAGATTCGACGATCAAAACAGTTTTGGTCTAAATCCATGCTGTAGTCGATCTCTTTTCCCAAGGACGGGAAGGGGCCGTGACGGACACGGGCCCTGGAGATGTTTCGCGGTTCTCGGGCCCCGGGAGCCCTTCCGACGGGCCGTGGGACCGTCAAAGATTTCTTCAGTACGCGACAGTGTCCCTGGGAATGTGCCCTGGGGCACAGGACTGTGACACAGGACCTAGCGGTGCGCCCGTGGGGGAAGCGAGAATGGGCGGGCCTTCTCGGAAGGCTCGGATGCCCCCCCAGCCATCTGATGAGTTTTCCAGGCCTTTCCCGAAGACAGACGACTTCTCAGAACGCGCAAGGGTTTCTGAAAAGTTCCGCCGCCTTCTGAGAAGGCCTCCTCCTTCTCACTTCCCCCCCTCGCTCGCCGCCGAGGACGGGCCCTGGGACACAGAACCCGTTCCCTGGACCCTTCTCCTACATAGGGTCGAGGATTTGTGTGGATGGCTGCATCTGCTCATGGAGCCCTCTTCGCACGTGGGGCCCCTCCACGGACTGCAGAGTCTCTCCAGCTTGGTCAGTCGAGAAAACTGCGGCCAGTCCCCGTCGTCTTTGGGCCTCCTGGGCGTGTTTCGCTCTCATCTAGGCCTCCTAGACGGGGTCCGAGAAGATGGGGTCGAAGGATCGCGCCGCACCGCCGACGCATCGACGACGCGGATCGATGTGGAGCCCGTGCTTCCCCACGCCGACGTCGCCGATGCACCGCCGATGCATCACCGATGCATCGCCGTGGTATCGGCGCTGCGGCGTGATCCCTCGACCCCATCTACTCCGACCCCATCTAGGAGGCCTCCAAGGGCGCTTCTCTCAGGCGATTGCAAACATGGACCAAGGGGGCGTGGATTAGCCACGGGTCCCGTTTCCACGGGAAATCGCGCATTCCCGCCGCCGAGCGAGGCGGCACCGGCCGCATTTGCGGGAGGGCACTTCTCCCGATGCATGGCCTAGGCGACCGCGCGCCAAATCCATGGGTCGCTAATCCACGTCTGCGCGCCCCCCATTCTCGCCCTCATCACCGCGGCTGGATCCGCCCCCGCAGAGCGGGTCAGGACGGACCCTGGGGCGGGTCTGGTGGCCGCCGTGGCGCGGGTGCGTCGCTGGGCGGGCGAGCCCCCTGTGGCCTCGGCGGGCCCTCCTCGGGCCGCAGAGGGCCTCCTCTGGAGACCCGGGCTTTGCTTCTTGGGCGACCCGAAGAGGCCGCGCCGGGCCGCTGCGTATTTGTTAGTCGGGCATGCCCCTCTACAGGAGGAATCTTCAAGAATAGTCAACCAAATAGGCTGGGGGCGATTGTTCGAGTATGTTTGGGCGGTTTGGGCCTGTTGTTTGATGATTTTTGATTTGTCATCGAAGATCTGCCTGTCGGGGGACATGCCCGACCTGATGCTAGGCCGGATGTGCTGGGGAACGAGGCTTGGCATCGCTCGGACGTGTGCATTTTTTTCGGCGAGAACCATCGAGGACCATCCTGGACCATCAAGCAACAAAAAAAACACGCACGAAACCGAAAAATGCACGGGAAATAGACGTCCGAGCGACGGCAAGGAGGGGTTCAAAGTGCTCGGGCGCTGTCGGACGTTCCCAGGCTCACGGGCTGCCGAGTGCTGTTCATCAGGCTGCGCTTAAGTCGGGCATGTTCCTCTACAAGAAGAATTCGAGAATTGTCCAAAGATAGTCTGGGGACGATGTTTCGACCATGTTGGGATCATGTTTGAATATGGTTTGGTTATTTATTATTTGTCGTCCAAAATCCGCCTATAAGGGGACATGCCCGACCTAAGGTTACGCCCCGTGTTTCTAGAAGGCGTCCGAGGAGCCCTGAAACGTTCTGGGTTGCTGCCCGGGGTTCGAGTTTCATGGCCCTGGAGCAGGAAGCGAGAGGGAGGAAGGATCGGGGGGAGGCACGAGGGATTCGCCTTTGTGTTTCGCCCTCTGGGGCCTCCCTTAGGGGCCCTCAGACTCATCGCCACGGCTAGACGCAACCCAAAAGTAGTCAGGACTGTCCGGGAGAAGCCCAGGGCGGTTGTTGGTGGGGGTTGGCCAAGCGTTGCTATGAGGCAACGTTGCGGACCGTTTCCGTACTCGTCTCGGTTCGGGGTTGTCGCCTCCGTGGACTAGCCGTTGCTCCAGCCACAATGGTTTGGGGCAAAACCTCGGGGTCATTCTTTGAGTGAGCGAGATAACAAATCTAGCGTGCAAAACACTGTTCTGGTCGATCCCTGGGTGGATCGGAAAGTCTGGAAGGAGAAAGAGGGCCACTGACACGCAGCCGTTGGTAGCCCGTGAGCGGGTTACGTGTTCCCTCGTTATTGTCCGACGGTCTGGTGACACGTGTTGATGTGTCTCCCCACGGCGGCGTGTCGTTGATATTGCTCGTGCTACCCCAGAAGGGGAAGAAGGAGGAGCAGGAGGAAGCACGAGCAATATCAACGATGCAATATCAAGAGGAGGAGAGGAGGAGGAGGAGGAGGAGGAGGAGGAGGAGGAGGAGGGTGGCCCGATCTGGGGCGGCCGCGGCGGCAGCCTCGCAGCCCAGGGGCAGCCCCCAATGCAAGGACACGTGCTTCCCCAGAGAGCAGGAGGAAGAGGGGGCGGATGATATGTTTATGCTCTCTGATGCACTGGCCAACAGCAGGACCTCTCCGAGAGTCTGGCCACTCGGCGGCCTGGCCACCCCCGTGGGGTTATCTTCAGCCTCCCCCTCCCGACCCTCCTCTGGCCGTGTCCCCCGACCGCTTGGGCGCTCACTGAAACGCTTCCCCGAACAGCCTGTGTGAAATGATGGGCCTGTCTTCCACCAGGCCAGACGGTCTTCGTCTCCTTCGAGACCCCCGCTTCGTCCACCTCGCACCCCCGCTTTCTCAGGAGTCCTCCTCCTCCTCCTCCTCCTCCTCCTCCTCCTCCTCCTCCTCCTCCTCCTCTGAATAGCAGCAGCAACAGTCGACGCCATCGATAGACGCCCATCCGAAGAGAAAGAAGTACACGAAACCAGACTCCAAATGAAAAGACAAAGAAAGGCGCAGCAACGACGGCGACGAGACTTCTTCGCAGAAGGGCCCGACCTCTTGGAAGGAGGGAGACGTCCACCAACCACACAATGTGACGAGGACAAGACGTGGCAAGGGGTGGCAATGCTAGTGCTGCCTGCAAAGAGTAGACACAGACACCAACTTTGAAACCGTTAAAGGAATGGTTCCAAGAGGGGTGCAAGGGGGGGCCTCCAAGACACGGCACGGTTGTCATACAGCATGATGCAGCAGCACACCCACGCCACCCTTGTGTACTGCTCAGAGCTGAAGCCAGATGGTTCTGCAGGTTGTGTGGAGCTACAACCGCAGAGTACATCTCGGACAACATGAAGAAGTATTGCAAGACACGACCTGGATACAGCAGCATGCCACTGGCTCAACGAGGCGGAGAAAATAATAAGGAAAACAAGTACTCAACATCAGCTCGGAAAACAGCCAGCAGGCACGTACCACACCCCCTCAGCAGAGGGCAGTTGTTAGTACCGACCTGCTTGGCGATCAATCGCCCACGTTTCGCCGACGTCAGTCACCTAACCGCATCCTGCGCGACGACTACACCAGCGGCTTGGAGGAAAGCCAACAGGCACGCACCACACCGCCGCACCAGGGGCAAGATGTGAGTACCGACCTGTTTGGCGCGTCGCCATCGTTTCGCCAGGATGCCTCGTTAGAAATCCTGGCGCTGCGAGGCACAACGTCGCCAGAGTTTTGCGGACATGACACAGACCACGATATCCACCCTAGGAGTCAAACCGTTGCGAGCAACGGGGCTCGAGGGGGAGGACGGCCACTCCCTGCGTCGGCCAGGGGGGGGGCGGTTGGCGGAGGTCAGCGTGCAGAACCGCGCCCGCCGATGTTGACCGCTCCCATCGAGAACAAGCAGGCTCAGTACCACGACGACAACAACGAAATGAGGTACGACAAGAACGCGTCTGGCACTGCCGCCCTCCTTGGAAGGCATGTCGCTTCGGGTGTCTGCGGCAACCACCGCGGGGGCCCGTCGCAAGGTGCCGAGGATCTCGGAGGCGAATCGATTTCACGCCAGAGCGCGAGCCCGATCCCACAGCTCCCCGCGCCTCCACCAGACACGCGGGGAGGAGGGGCGGTCCCCAGGGACGCGGCCCCTCCTGCTGCGAGAAGGAGGTTGACGACGAAGCAGAAGCCGCGGCAGGGTACTGCCACCTTCCATGGGAGGCATGCCGCGACGAGTGCCCATGGCTTGCGCCGTGGGGGTCCGTCGCGGGGCGCTGAGGATCTCGGAGGTGGATCGCGTTCACCTACGCGGACCCAGCAAGGCTCCCCGCGCCTCAGCCAGACGCGCGGGAGAGAGGGCGGTCCCCAGGGACGCGGCCCTCTGAGCGGCCGCGGCCCGCGGCCGCACCGCCACGGCCCCCTGCGCCTCCGCGAGACGCGCAGGGAGAGGGGGCGGTCCTCATGGACGCGGCCCTCGGAGCGGGGGCGGCCGCGGGGCCGCGGGTCGCCCCTGCCGGCAGCCACTGCGGCTGTGGAGTAACTCGAGTAACTCCTCCTCCTCCTCCTCCTCCTCCTCCTCCTCCTCCTCCTCCTCTTCCTCCTCCTCCTCCTCCTCCTCCTCCTCCTCCTCCTCCTCCTCCTCCTCCTCCTTTCCCCCCTCCAGCTTCTGGTGGCGGTGGTGGAAAGCAGTCCCATCGTGGAAGGGCTCTGCACGCCTGGAACGGCGCCGGCCCGGCGAGGGAGCCGGACCTCCCGAGAGCTGCGTCCCCCCCCCGCGGCCTGGGCCCTCGAGAGATCGGGCCTCCCCCCCGCGGCCCCTCGGCGCGGCCACCCCGTCGTGGGCTTTCCGTCCGCGTGCTCTGGTGGGCAGATGTTCCACCACCGCTGCCACGGGTAGGGGACGATGGGGAGGTCCTCCCACTCCTCCTCCACGTCGTCGTCGTCGTCCTCCTCCTCTTCCTCTTCGTCGTCGTCCTCCTCCTCCTCCTCCTCCTCCTCCTCCTCCTCCGCCTCCTCCTCCCTCCTCCCTCCTCCCTCCTCCGTCCTCCGTTCCTCGTCCTAAGTACCTGTGGTCGCGGTGGTGGAACATCGGCCCGTCATGCTTACGTAGAGCTGCCTGGGGCTTTCTGCCGCAGGGGCAACCAGTGGTCGACCTAAACGGCGAGCCGTTTTCGTTTCGAAGTCGTTTTGCATCTAAGGTGCGGCACGAAGACAAAGCGAACGAAAACGAAAGCAAAACGGGAACGAGCGAAAACACTGTTCAGGTCGATCCCTGGGGGCACCATCGTTTCTTTCCCGCTTCCCCCATCGCAGCGCCGCCGCGCACGGTGGCGAGGCCGCGAGTTCCGCGGCGTGCATCGCAGGGGAGATGCCCGATCGCGGAAGCGGGCGTGGTCGGGAGGGGCGTGGCGAGTAGTCAGAGCGAAGGGGACAATCTCGCAGCGTTCGGCGGCAAGCCCACGGTTGAGTCGGGCGTGTCCCTCTACAGGAGGAAAATTCGAAAACAGTCATAACAATAGTCAGGAGACGATTTGCTCATTATTTGTATTCAGACTATGTTGGAGCAGTTTTGGATTACTTGTTTATTTTATCGCTTCGCTCATTCCGCCGGCCCTGGAGCGCTATTTGGGGCCTCTTGGGGCCATCTTGGGGGCCTCTTGGGGGCTTCTTGGGAGCGTCTTGGGGCTCCTTGGCGGCGTCTTGGGCTCCCCTGGGGCCTCTTAGGGGGCTCTTGGGGGCCCCTTGGAGCGGGAGGGGGGGTAGTCGATTGCAGCCACCCCCTCGGAGGCCACGATCCTCCTGAGGGGTGGCGAAAAATAGCCTCCCCCCTGGGGATCGCCCGGGACCCGGCCGGGGATCGGCCGGGGTATTTTTCGTCCGAGGGCTCCCAGGGGCCGCCCCGCGCGCGCGAATTAGAAATATTGTTAAGTAGTTACCGGAGATCTTAGCACGCCTCTGGCCCGTTGGGCCGGCGAATTTTTCGTCCAAGATCCGCCTGTAGGGGGGCATGCCCGACCTAAGCCCAGGGGGAAATGAGAGGGGGCAGGCTTTCTCAGAAGGCGGTGGGGCATCTCAGAACCGCTCTGGCCTTCGCAGAAGCTGCCTCCGTGTGTGGTGAAGGCCCCCTTTCCGAGCCTTCTGAGAGAAGGCCCGGCTCTTCTGAGTTGCCCCTGGGCTCGCCGCCGAAGCATGCGCAATCGCGCAGACCGAGGACGTCTGGAAGTTTCGTAGTGCAGACTGGGCTTCCTTGACTGCAGCGTTGATAGGCAGCCTTCGCGGAGAGCAGAGGCGCTGCTAAGAGGGCAGTAGTCTGCTTGGGAACCCCGCGGCTTCTCAGAAGCCCTCTCTGAAGGTTGTGGGCTTTTCTGAGAGGGTTCTGACCCTCCACGACGCCCGCGTGCGAGGCGGGGATTGATGCGTAACTGCCGCCTGGAGGATTGATCTTCGGAGACCGTAGACTTCGACAGGCGGGGGCTAGGGACATATTCGGGCCCACGTCGGTTCCCCAGGCGGTCGATGTGGACCTGTCCACGCCTCGCACCCCCACTCTCTCAGGAGGCCGCCCCCCCCGTCGCGCGCCACCCCCTCCTCCTCTTCCTCCTCCTCCTGCTCCTCCTGCTGCTGCTCCTCCTCCTCCTCCTCGTCCTCCTCCATTCCTTCTTCTTGTGTATAATTATTCCTGGTCACACCCCGAGGCCAGTTTTTAGGGCGGACCAGGCGTTTCGCCTGAGCCTTCCTCACCACGTATGACCCTGAAGCTTAAACATTGACAATGTGTTCAAAGATGAAGGGCGGGTGGTTTTCAAAATGTGGCTCTCGCCTTAGCCTCGCGCACATTCGCTTTCAGAATTTGCAAGAGCTTCACGGATTGAAGGCGGGTGGTTTTTAGAATGTGGTTCTCGCTTTAGCGCCGCGCACACTTTTTTGCAAGAGTTTCACGGATTGAGGGCGGGTCGTTTTCCAAAGGTGGTTCTCGTTTTAGTGCCGCGCACATTCGTTTTCAACATTTGCAAGAGTTTCACAGATTGGGGACGAGTGGTTTTTAAAATGCGTTCCGCATTAGCGTTGCGCGCATTCGTTTTCAATAGTTCCAAGGATTTCGCGGATTGAGGGCGGGTCGTTTTCAACATTTGGTTCTCGTATTAACGCCGCGCGCATTCGTTGCCAGAATTCGCAAGAGTTTCACGGATTGAAGGCGGTTCCTTTTCAACATGTGGTCCTCGCCTTAGTGCCGCACACATTCTTGTTGAACAATTGCAAGAGGTTTTACGAATTCCAATGATCGACGTACCAGAAATTGTGTTTTGGAAGGATTCATGATTATGAGGGCGCAGTATTTACGATGATTCGCGGTGTTGAAGTCCCAGGTCCCAGGAATGGCGTTCTGGCACGACTCAGGATTGTCAAGATGCAGCAGTCAAATTCAGCCGCGGCGTTGGAATCCACGAATCATGTTTTGGCATGCTTCAGGGTCTTCCAACGGCTGTCTTCCAGCGAGGCATGCCCCTCTGTGGAAATGAAACGATGTGGGGGCCTATGAAGAGGGAGCTTGGGGGGAGGGTGTACTCCAACATAGTTGGTGACTGTCGGGTTCACACTGGTCCTCCTCCTCCTCCTCCTCCTCCTCCTCCTCTTGCCCCTCCTCCTCCTCCTCCTGTTCCTCCTCCCCCCTCCTCCTCCTCCCCCCTCCTCCTCCTCCCCCCTCCTCTTCCCTCCTTCCTCCTCCCTTCTCCTCCTCCTCCCCCTCCTCCTCCTCCTCCTCCTCCTGCTCCTCCTCCTCTTTTTCCTCCTCCTCCTCCTTTTCCTCCTCCTCCTTCTCCTCGGCCCGGGGGCACCCGAGTGTCCCCACCCCCGTCACCAAGGGGGACCCCCCGGGGCGTCGGGGTTCAGATCCCGGGTCCCGAGCCACAAACAACGCCACCTGCCGGTCGCAGCCTCTTGAAGAATTTGTCCCTCGGCTTCCCGCTTCTAAGCCCAGACATGATCGCGTCGTAGGTGTGCCGACATGGGTGGGGAGGCGCCATGCGATGTGTCCCAACGACGCCGAAATGCGCCGAAACGGAGGGGCGGCGCCATGCGATCTGTTGCGATCTGTCCTACCACTGGGACTCGGCAGTGCTCCCGGTGGGGCCAAGAAACGCACGGGACGTGCGAGGGTGCGCCGAAATGGGCGCGGCGATGTTGTGAGAGATCCGTGTGGGGTCACGAAGCGTGTGGAGGGTGTGCCGACATAGGCTACGAAAAGCAGAGGAAGGAGGTGAAGGGGCGAGGAGGAGGGGGAGGAGGGTACGCGGCACTGCGGGTTCAAACCTTTGGTCCAACTAAGCACAGGATGGTCTGGAAGAAGATGGGCCACGGCAGCAGCGAGGGGAGAGATGCAGGGCCCCCTCTTAGTGGGAAGTCGCTTTCATGAGCTAAGACCTACACGTTTTTTTCTGGGTCTCGCAGCTCGGAGAGACTTCGGGTCTGATAATTCGTTGCTTTGTTCGTCCTCCTCGCCCTCCTGCGTCTCCTCCTGTTCTCCCCATCCTCCTCCAACTAACCTGCGTCATCCTACGAGTACTCCCCCCTTCCTCATTCCCCAGCCACCTCCATTTCTGCCGTTCCTCCTCCTCCACCTCCTCCCCCTCCTCCTCCTCCTCCTCCTCCTCCTCCTCCTCCTTTGTCTCCTCCTCCTCCTCCTCCTCCTCCTCCCCCTCCTCCTCCTCCCCCTCCTCCTCCTCCTCCTCCTCCTCCTCCTCCTCCTCCTCCTCCTCCTCCTCCTCCTCCTCTACGCCCTCTGGGTCCTCCCCCCTCCGCCCGCCCTCCGAGCCTCTCTCCCCCTGTTCTCTCCCCCTCCCTTGGCCCGCCGGCCCGATCGTCCGCCCGCGCCCGCCGCCCACGCAGAGGGCGCAGTGCTTCCGTTCCTCACCTCGCACTGTCCCGGTTGGACGTGTTACGCCGAGAAGGCTGCCGCGGACGCCGCTGTCGTCGTCAGGTTCGGCGTCTTCGTCTTAGGTGCCGTCGTCGGCGTCCTCCTCCTCCTCATCCTCCTCATCCTCCTCATCCTCCTCATCTCTCCTTCTCCTCGCTTCTCCTCCTCCTCGCTCCTACTCTTCCTCGCTCCTCCTCCTACTCCTCCTCCTACTCCTTACTGTCCCTCCTTGCTGACACTCATGATGTCGGGATGCCTGGCCGAACGCGTGAGGCTCCTCTACGACTCAGTGTTTGTAAATGGGGGAGGAGGCGTTCAAGTGGTTCCGCGACGGGTTGCGCGTCCAGGGCCAGCAGCTACAAAATGTATCACGCTTATTGACGGCGCGTACGCGCGCGCGATGGAGGTGTAATTGAGCCCCACGGAGTCCAGGATCGCAGACCACCATAGAGGCGGGTGTGGGAGAGGGTGGGACTGGTGGAGGAGGAGCAGTGGTTGCCTTGGATCGCGAAGTTCCATGCTCTCGGTGCCATGCAGACTGGAATCTGTCGTGTGCTCGACGACAACGATCAGCATGGTCGCGACGGGCGTCTTTGATCATCGGTAGTTTGAGGCAGTTTGGCTGCGTTGCTATACTCAACTCATCTGTCAGTCTCAGAATTTGCGAGATTGACCGGCCCTTGCACCAGACCCACCATCAACTCTATCTTGTGCAGACGATTCTGGAGCTTGGGTGGACAGATGGGAATATCCCTATGCGAATTCTGCATCCGAGGAATGGTGCACCGAGTCTGGCGGCTACGGATCTGGGTGGGACTTTACTTGGGACACTGTTCTGTCTGCCGTGCAAGATGGACATGACCCTAATTACAACAGCTGCGGTTGTGGCGGACCAGCCGAGAGAGCCCCGACGAAAGTTGTTTATACCCTTGCGTTCTAGACGACGGGCGTTGTCTGGATGGTTTTGCGGCGGTACCCTACGAGAGTGCGAGTATAGATGTGAACGCTATGCGGCCGATCTGTGTTAATTTGCAGGGGGTGGGTGATGTTATGGCTCGGACTGCGCAGCCACTTTAGCTGATTGCCGTCTCCATGCTACCATGATCCGTGGGTCATCAAATAGCCTTATGAGTTCTCTTCTCCGAGGTTACCCAGGCCTCCCAATAGCGAGTTGGGATCACGTGTTGGTGCCGTAATGTGGCAGCACAGTTTTGATGAGTAACAGGAGCCACCATCCAATCACAGAAATTGATGGGGTCCCTGTGCATTTTGAAGGTCGATTGACGGTATGGGTTGCCATTCGCCGAGTTTTGCAGGCGAGAGGAGCTTCGTCTTCTTCAGCAAAGAGTACCTCTCGGACGCTTGGCCTCAGAGACCACAGTGCACGCTTGCAGTGTTCTATCACATCGATTTCGTCAGAGAGTTTGTCGAGACAGAAAGCGGAGGGTTGTTGCAGGTGTTGGGCCCGTCTTCCGACGGTTGTTTTCTAGATGTGGGGAGTGTTGATCCAAGGACCAGCGCCGACACACAGGATTCAGAATCTGCCGAGCCAGCTGTTCCACTTGTGGAACTTAACAGTTTCGTGGCAATGGGTGCATCAAGGGTGTGTTGATCATGAATCTGGCGACCTGGATAAGAGTTTATATCTGGAGTACTATGCAGAAGTATTGGAAACGCGTGTCTTTCTGATCAAGAGCTTCGCTGACGTCAACGAGATTGTGTATCCATTGGGGCTGACGTTTGGCAGTTGCTCTGGGCGAATGCCTAGTGACGAGTGCGTGCCTGCTGCAATTCAGAAAGTCGGGGGTGGACAGAACCCCCAGCAGTGACACGTCGATAAGTGAATTGTCCGTTTTCGGTTCTCGAGAGGGCGCCGTGGCCGTTATTTTCCAGGCTCGCGCCCACCAGGTTTGGGCTTCAGGTCGTTTCCACTAAACCACGTTTTACTAAAGGGGGGTCTGTCCATCCCCGAGAAAGCCCTCGAATTCGAGTGGTTGCAGCGAATTTGAGTCTACAGCAAAGCCCGCCTGCAAAATGTGTGGATCACGGGTGTTTTCTACTCGGATGCAGTACCCACGGCACAGTGATGTGGACGGGATCCAATAGCGCAGTGCATTGAAACCGGCGACACATGCATGGCCAGTCGCCAGGGCTAGTTGTGTTGTCTTTGGTCAACGCGTTCAATGCGGATGCGCCAGAATCATGGGTCAACAGCACGTGGATGAGAGGAGGATGAAGCTCCGCGGGCGATGAAGCCGGCATGAGCTCCCGAGCGGCGTTCGATACAGTATTGATTGTGATGTTCTCGGCTATGCTTGGTTCTGCTATCCAGCGTTGATGGCTACCGAACATACCAGGGCTTCGAAACGACACCATCGTTTGCTGAAAAGGCTTCTCTGGTTGTCCCCGGGTGCCTTAGGCCAGGAGTTGCGTCAGCATCGTCATGAACATTGCACGAAGAGTGATTGCGATACTGATATACGAGCGATGCTACTCCGATTGGAGGCCACGGGAGACCAATGCTCCTGATTGGTTCCAGATCCCGCGATTCTCGCACTTGAATTATTTTGAGTGTCCAATAGGACCCGTACAGACAAGTTCTTCAAGACAAAAGATGCATTAACATTTCCCGGGTACGCAATGAAGAACACCCCCTCTCCGGCGAAAGTATAACGCATTTGGCACCCTGGAAGCGCAATCGTATTGATAGTATTTATGATTTGTACTCTTTTTCGCTTTCTTATTCGTAGTCGTACTATTATGCTTGTTATCATCCATATTATTATTATTGTTAGGCATATTCGCATTCGCATTATCATTCGCATTTCTACTCTCATTCTTCTTAGTAGTATTAGAATTCGCATTCGTATTGGTGATTCGTAGTGTTATTAGTATGTGTTGCCGTATTCGTATTAGTACTATGATTAGTATTCATATCCTGATTCATATGCTTATTCGTCATCGTGTTACGATTCGAATTATTAGTATTATTATTATTATTATGATGAGTCCGATCCTTATTCGTATTCCTATTATTATTCGTACCCTCATTCGTAGTATTATGCATTGTGGTATTCTTCTGCGAAGCCGTACTATTCTCTGTTTCTGGTTCTTAGTCGGATGTGTATTACTATGTTAGTTTTCGCATTATCACTATTACTCTTGTCGGGGTGGCGGAGGGGTCAGAACTATTTTCTGCGCGTTCGCGGTGCTAAGATAACGCTCCGTGCGGGGCGGGGGCGATATCCTCGGATGTACTA